ATAATCCATAAAAATTTGGTTTTGATCAATTTTTTGTTTTTTTTAATTGATTTTTTATTGGTTCAGTTTTGAACACTTATAGAATCTTAATCAAGTTTATAGTAAAAGTTAAATAAGATGAGTCTTTCATAACTTTTCTTAAACAAATAAAAAGAGTTAATTCAACTTTATCTCAAACTATTTTGAGTTATACATTAAAAGTGAACTAGATATTATCCAAGCACATCATTATGTCATTATAATTATATGAGCACATCATTTCATCATATTAGTGCCATAATAATTTATATCACCAAATTGAATACATCATCATAAATATAGAACAACCATCAAACTTCTTGTTATCATAAAAGATTCATACATTTATAACATGAATCTAGTCATCCTCCTACATTTTATAAAGATGTTTCTCTACTTTGAGTCCATCTCAGTCAAAGCTCTAAATCAAGAACACATTGGTCATTGTTCTAAATCAAACTTACCTCAATCTTAATAATACTTTAAATTACTAATTTGAGAAAAAATATAACTCAACAAACATAATTACTAAAAAAAACTTGTAATCCACTACAAGAAAAAACGTTATTAGCGACTGAAAAAATCGGTCGCTAATGGCCAAAATTCGGTCGCTATTACGTTAGCGACCGAAATGGTTGGTCGCAAAAGGGCAAGTCGCTAATTTGTTAGCGACCGATTTACATTTCAAGTGGCTGATGAGGTGGTCGCTAAATAATTTGGTCACTTATTCATTGAAGACCAAAATAGCGACCGAAATTAATATAATAAATCGATCGCTAAATCCGTGGTAAAGTTTTAAAAAATAGCGATCGATATATTCGATCGCTAATATATTAATATAATTATTTAAATAAAAATTAAAATCGGTCGCTAAATTAGAGACAAAGTTAACAATAATAGCGACGGATATAATCGGTCACTAATATATTAATTGAATTATTTAACTAATAATTTAAATCGGTTGCTAAATCGGTCGCTAAATTTGAATTGTATATTATAATAAATTTGTAGCGACCAAAAAGTCAGTCGCTAATCTAACCAAATCTGAAAATTTTCGTTTAAAATTTTGTATATCCAATTTGACAAAATTTGTACCTGCTTAATTCATCCAAACATAACACAAATGAAAACTTAAGAACTAAAGTCAAATTATTCAAATCATAAAATTTGTATCTGCTTAATTCATCCAAACATAACACAAATGAAAACTTAAGAACTAAAGTCAAATTATTCAAATCATAAAATTTGTACCTGCTTAATTCATCCAAACATAACACAAATGAAAACTTAAGAACTAAAGTCAAATTTTGTATATCCAATTTTACAAAATTTGTACCTGCTTAATTCATCCAAACATAACACAAATGAAACTTAAGAACTTAACAACTAATCAAGATTCAAAGTCTTAATATGCTTGAACAGCTGGCGGTATCCAGATTCCCGTATCCTTACCATTCCTAACTTTGTTCATTGAGTTTTTTAAAATTCGAGAACCTTTCTTATCAAAAACAAATCTTATGGCTTGCTCTTGTTCCACATCCCATATATACTCTTTCTGCATAAATAAAATACACAACAAACATTTAATTTATAAGAATGAAATGACATTGTTTAATGTATATAATTCAAATTACCTTAAACTCTCCAAACCATCTATCTCGAAGCTTAAGTGAAACCTTTCTCCAAGTGGGACTTGGTTCATCAAATTTTTGTTTGATGATTCTAGAGATTATAGCAGGAGGACCATTTGCTGGTATAAACCTGTGTTGAAACATATTGTGGGATTGATATTATTAAGAAATTTCATATTAAAGAATTATAATTAGCATAAGTGAAACTGCATTATTCACTTTATGTGATGCACTACTTATGTTTTTCTATTCTTGCAAATTAACTACAACAATCAGCATAAGTGAAACTGCATTATTCACTTTATGTGATGCACTACTTATGTTTTTCTATTCTTGCAAATTAACTACAATAATCAGCATAAGTGAAACTGCATTATACACTTCATGTGATGCAGTACTTACGTTTTTCTAATACATTTTTTCCAAGGTATTTATCCACTACTTATGCAGTACGTATGATACAGACCACCAAATAATTGTATAAGTAAACCCAATAATTATGAAATTTATTTTCACTAAGATCCAACAGATAATTAAAACAAATTACAAATGGTTAACCTGAGGGCGTACAGTCTCAACAAGTTCCCAAATTGGTCTGTCAAGCACCACCAAATCCGCAGTAAGAGGGATCGAAGAACCTATCTACTTCACAAATCCACCTACAACAAACGATAAAGAAATTCTGTCAAAATTATCTCTCCTATATTATTCACAATGCAATAGAATAACAGTATATACATTCAAACAAGCCAAACCTTGGTTGAGGGTGTCAAAGGCTGCGGAGGAGGTTAAGAATAGAGGTGTGGCGCGGTGGCTCACAGGGTGGCGTCCGGTTGACGAGGAGCTTTGGTGGAGGTTGGATTAGGGTGAGGGCTGACTTGGGGGGAGCAGTGAGGGGGCTAGGGCTCTCCGGGAGTGAGGAGGAGATACTGGCCAAGGTTAAGAGAAATGGGTGAGTGAGGCGCGAGAGTTAGGGTTATTTGGGGATAAGTGGTGCAAGATACGAAAGTGAAAAATGTGGTAGTATATGATAGCGGTTAAATCTTAACCGCTATTATAATATCACTTCTAATAGCGGTTAAATCTTAACCGCTATTATATAGCACTTCTAATAGCGGTTAAATATTAACCGCTATTATATATTTTCAAATATGATCGATCATTTGAAAATGTAATCGATCATAATAAAAAAATGTGGATGTCGCTCGAGCGAGATCAGTGTCGCTCAAGCGAAAAACAACCCGAGAATGCCAATTTTGTGCAGGTGGCGTCGCTCGAGCGATGTTATTTTCGCTTGAGCGAATGTTGACCTGCTAACCGTCGATCAAAGTTAGCCGGATAATGTAACATGGGTGACCTCATGTTTGAATCGGATGTCGCTCGAGCGAGTATAGTGTCGCTCAAGCGAAATACAACCCGAGACTTCACAATCTTAAAATCTGGTTGTATATGATAGCGGTTCCACTGGAACCGCTATTAAAAGGGCACTTCTAATAGCGGTTAACCCTTAACCGCTATCTAAAATATACTTTAGATAGCGGTTAACGTGGAACCGCTATTATATCTTCTCAATTATGATCGATAATTTCTAATTATAATCGATCATAATGAAAACTTACATTAACTATTTTTTTGAATATTATGTTTTTAAATTTGCTATTAGAGAAAACCTTTCGGAATTCAAAATGTTAAATACTTTTAAATATTAAAATTAACTTTATCAAAAATTAGGAAAAAAAATTAATCCAAAAGAGTTCAAAAATGTATTATAATATTGTCAATTTTGAGTTTAATTATATTGTTCATTCTCAAAATAGAAAAATATATTGTAATTATTTTAATTTAATAAAATATAATTTAAATTTTTAATACTAAAATTAAAAGATTAAATAATAATAAATTTAATTCTTTAAATTCAGTAGTTAGAAACTAAAATTATAGTTTCTTTGTTTTAAATAATTAAAATAAATATTTAAAAATAAAAATCAAAACTAGTATTATCTTAAATTTATTAAAAGTGTAATTAAATCTCTATTTTCTTAATTTTATTTGTTTCAAACTTCTCAATTCTACATTTTTGTAAGTTTTATCATTATATTATCATCTTCATCTCCTCCCATGTTCTACTTTATCTTTACAATAGTCAATATTCTTAAAAATTTATATTTTTAATTATAATTTTTTAGTATATATTTCAGAAATGAATCAATTCTAATCTATTATTTGAAAAAATAATCAATTCTAATCAATAATTTAGAAAACTAATCGATTATAATTAATTATTTGAAAAAATTATCCAATATGATCGATCATTTTTAAAAATCTAATCGATCAAATTAAAAAATCTGGTTGTATATGATAGTGGTTCTACTTGAACCGCTATTAAAAGGACACTTCTAATAGCGGTTAACCCTTAACCGCTATCTAAAATATACTTTAGATAGCGGTTAACGTGGAACCGCTATTATATCATAATGAAAACTTACATTAACTATTTTTTTGAATATTATGTTTTTAAATTTGTTATTAGAGAAAACCTTTCAGAATTCAAAATGTTAAATACTTTTAAATATTAAAATTAACTTTATCAAAAATTAGGAAAAAAAATTAGTCCAAAAGAGTTCAAAAATGTATTATAATATTGTCAATTTTGAGTTTAATTATATTGTTCATTCTCAAAGTAGAAAAATATATTGTAATTATTTTAATTTAATAAAATATAATTTAAATTTTTAATACTAAAATTAAAAGATTAAATAATAATAAATTTAATTCTTTAAATTCAGTATTTAGAAACTAATATTTTAGTTTCTCTGTTTTAAATAATTAAAATAAATATTTAAAAATAAAAATCAAAACTAGTATTATCTTAAATTTATTAAAAGTGTAATTAAATCTCTATTTTCTTAATTTTATTTGTTTCAAACTTCTCAATTCTACATTTTTGTAAGTTCTATAATTATATTATCATCCTCATCTCCTCCCATGTTCTACTTTATCTTTACAATAGTCAATATTCTTAAATAATTTATATTTTTAATTATAATTTTTTAGTATATATTTCAGAAATTAATCAATTCTAATCTATTATTTGAAAAACTAATCAATTCTAATCAATAATTTAGAAAATTAATCGATTATAATTAATTATTTAAAAAAATTATCAAATATGATCGATCATTTCGAAAATCTAATCGATCAGAATCAAAAAATCTGGTTGTATATGATAGCGGTTCCACTTGGAACCGCTATTATATGTTACATTCGTTTGAGCGAATGTTGACTGCAGTAAGCGTTACTTTCGCTTGAGCGAATGTTACTTTCACTTGAGCAAATGTTATTATATGATAGCGGTTCCACAGTGTGGCGTCGCTCGAGCGATGTTACTTTCAGCTTGAGCGAATGTTGACTCGCGTGAACGTCGATCAAAGTTAGCTGGATAATGTAACCTGGGTGCCTCATGTTTGAATCGGATGTCGCTCGAGCGAGAATAGTGTCGCTCAAGCGAAATACAACCGAGAGAATGCCAATTTTGTGCAGGTGGCGTCGCTCGAGCGATGTTACTTTCGCTTTAGCGAATGTTGACCTGCGTAAACGTCGATCAAAGTTAGCCGGATAATGTAACCTGGGTGCCTCATGTTTGAATCGGATGTCGCTCGAGCGAGAATAGAGTCGCTCAAGCAAAATACAACCGGAAAATGCCAATTTTGTGCAGGTGGCGTCGCTCGAGTGATGTTATTTTCGCTTGAGCGATATTGCAAAAATCAGATATAATCATGGATTATTTTCTCATTAGCGACCGATTTTAATTCGGTCACTATTTCAATTTGTTATTCGGTCGCTAAATCAGTCGCTAAATGATTTTTTTATTTATGTATGAAATAGCCACCGATTTAGCGACTGAAAATTTGCGACGCACAAAAATTGGTCGCTATTTCAGTCGCTAAATAAAAAAGTGAAAACCAAATCATATTTTGGTAGCTAAATCAGTCGCTAATTGCGACGGAATTAAAGTGGTCGCTAAATCGGTCTCTAAATACGACTAAAATTAAATCGGTCGCTAAATCGGTCGCTAATTATGACCGAAAAAATTCGGTCGCTAATTTCGGTGGCTAAATGTGTTTTTTCTTGTAGTGATCGTTGAATTGACTTAATCAAACTTGCAATAGAGAGAAAAATATCTAACTCATATAAACCAAAGACTATCACTGATTCATTCATAAGTCAGATAGGTTTTATAATATCCCATAAATCGGATTTACTTAGTAATTCATTCTTCTACGTTAAAGTTATACTTTGAGTTCAAAAGGCTTGTGTACCTACCTATATTTTAACACTAAATACGCTGTATAAATAGGGAGATTCTCACGTATAAATCTTGTTAAATGCGTATCACTTCAGTAATAACATATGAAATAATGTACTTAATTACTAGTATGTAAATGAGAGAATCTTATGTTATTGAGACATTTAAATAACATTTAAATAGATATAATTTACTGCATAAAATATCATGGTTAGAGACCTTAAAAAAGATCACTTTATTTTTGACATCTCATTCTAATTCAAAATTTCTTTATTTTCTGTATTATCCTTTTCTTATACTAAATTAAACATCAAAGTATCTTTACAAAGAAATCTCTCTTTTTCTAGGATTTAGTAGAGTTTGACCCAATAAATTTCAAACATTATAAGAAAATCTTTAATTATCGATGAAAATTTATCAATGAAAATTTATTAACAGATATAAAACTTGTCGATAAATTTAAATACCAGCGGATAAAATGTCATTGGTAAATTTAAATTGTTGATGAATATTATTCTGTCTGTATATTTTGACTATTGATTGAGTTCACATTCAATACCCGCGCATATGTCGAAAAATCTGTTGACAATTTATTGTTATTTTTAAATAATTCATAATTATTAATGTATTGATTATTTAATTAATAAAAAATAACTTATTATTTATTTAATTAATAAAAATTAATATATTAATTATTTATTTGATAATTATTAATCTATTAATTATTTGAGTAGTAAGTATTAATTTATATATTATTTATCTCATAAATATTAATATATTAATTATTGAATTAAAAATATTAATTTATTAATTATTTATTTAATAAATATTAATATTTAGTTATTTAATTGTCATGGTATAATCTTTCCGCAGCTTCATTGCAACCTGATTCAGTAATTTTAGCATTTGTTCCATTCAGGCATTTTGCTCATAAAGTTTGGTTCAATCATGCGTATTATGTTTATTTTTCCTCCTTCATTTCCAATTTCGCTTTATTTTCATGGAATCTAGGGTTTCTTATTTTAAGGGATTTGCTAGATTTTTGCGAAAGGAACCTAGAGTCTATTCACATGTTTTTTTTTATTATTATTCATTAATCTTTGACTCTACATTTTGTTATAGGAACCATAGTGAAACTCTGGAACCAAAAGCAAAAATTTGTGAAGTGGAAATGGAATGTATGTTTGATGAAGCTGAGTCGACCATTACAATTGGCGAGTTCCTCAATGAAGTTAAGAAACGGGAACTAGTTAGTTGTTTCCTTCATTCTTGTTATACTTTGATATATATAAGAGCTAAAAAGATGTTGTACGTTCATTTGAGATTGGTAATTTGATGTAAATACTGTGTCTATTTTGATAAACCTATTGTTATTATGATTTATGTTTTGACCCTAGGTTATGAATTTTGCGTCATAATAGTTTGCTTCTTCTATTTCTGCTATCGTTGCATCAGTTGTTGTCATTTAACCTATGATCTGATCTCTTCTTTTTGCTTTTTGCCTGCATGCTGACTTTAATTGATCAATGCTCCCAAAATATTATTTAATCTACTTATCATTTGTAACATTTTCCTTAATACCTAATATCGAGTTCCATTATTGAATTTGATTTTTCTTGTTATCACCCTTCTTGCCTTCTACTGTTAGCTTCCAAAATCTTGTTAGTTGTTAATTCTCTATTATTGTCTTTTATCTTTTGTTGAAGTTTGAAAATGAGATGTATATGCCCCTTCCTAATCCAAAATTTCAATTATTATTTTTTACATTATTGTTGTGAAACATGGTACCTTGATGAGTATTAGTAATGTCTCTTGTATTCTGGTTGGTTTTGTTTTCTCCGTTAGTGTTATTACATAACATTTTTCTAAAGTTGATGCCATTTTGTTGAACATGATACTCATAGGTGATATTTTGTTACTATAGTAACCGAATGATATTGAGTTATTTGTCCCATATCAATTTCTGATTCTCAGTCATATAAAGTTATTCCTTTATATATACATTATTTATGCATCTTAAAAAACAAAGTTATTTATTTATGTCAAAAGTTTGAATGAACATGATTGTCAAAATAATTGGTATCTACAGGAGAATACAATTATTAAAGTAGGCTTTTAATATGTTTTTTTAAGGGTTTTACAATGCATCATTTCCCCCTATAATTCTAGTTTTATTTTTTTGCTGGGTTTTGAATTATTGAGGCATTTCATATACATCTTGGAGTTGTTAGTTATTACATTGTGACAAGATTTACACCTATGACTCTTGATGGTGACTATGGAGAACTAATGTTTACTAATATTAAAAATATTAACACTTTATTTTATATTAACTATCTCAATTATTTTAATTATTAAATAATATTATAAATAATAAAACACTTTATTTAAGGTTGTTGGAGAACCAATGTTTATTAGTATTTAAAATATTAACACTTTATTTTATATTAAAATTTTCAATTATTTTAATTATTAAATAATACTATAAATAATAAAACACTTTATTTAAGGTTGTTGTTTATACATCTTAAAAAGCATAATTTTTGTTACATAATACTTGCTATTTACTAAGTTTTTTATTATGCAGTTTGTTCTTTGTTTTTTTTTTCATCTATTTTGTTTTAAAGTTGAAGTTTGTCATTTATTTTGTAGACTTGTGCAATTTTTCTACGAGACTTTATGATCATTAGATGAAAATTTATTTGTCATGGGATATGTTAAAAAATTGTGAGATATTAGTTGAGGAAGAGATGAATATTTTTGTTATAAATTGTATTTATATAAATAACTTTACTTTTATTTAATTATTCTTTTCCTTTTTAAAATAATATTGGTGTCTAATTTTATATATATTCATCCATCACCATAAAATAAAATAAAAACATTTACCTACATAATTTTTTCTTCCACAAAGCTGCATGTGTTTAGCAACAAATGTTTTTGTTGGTAAATTAGTAGGTAAGATAATAGGTAATTATTGACGAATATTTCTGATGGTAATTACTAATAGACTTAAAATATCTATTCATAAAAATGATTGACAACATAATTTCTTATGGTACTTGTAATATATTTTATAAATTATGATTGATTTTATCTGTTGGTAAATCTATTTTTCTTATAGCGAAAGTGACCGTCATTTAAACTTATTTGTCCAAGCTTATTAATCAACAAAGCTTACTCATATTGTAATTTTCTGAAAAAACATATAGATAACATGCCTGAGATGACATGCCTTCACTTTTGAATGTCGGAGAAAATTTCTGACATGACATGATTTCCCTTTTGACCATTTGATTGTGTAAGAAAGTAATGATAGATAACACAACTTCAATAATAACTAAGGAGTCATCCCACGTTACACGACTTTGGTATTTATAATGCGCTACTCACAAATGGCAAATCCTATCATTACAAGAAAAAACACATTTATCAATTGAAATTAGCGATCGAATTTTTTTGTCGCAATTAGCGACTGATTTAATTTGGTCGCAATTAGCAACCGATTTAACGACCACTTTAATTCAGTAGCAATTAGCAACCGATTTAGCCACCAAAATATGATTTGGTTTCACTTTTTTATTTAGCGACCGAAATAACAATCAATAGTTTGCGCCACAAAATTTCAGATCGCTAAATCGTTAGTTATTCCATACTAAAATAAAAAAATTATTTAGCGACTCGATTTAGCGATCAAATTACAAATTAAAATAGTAATCGAATTGAAATCGATCGCTAATGAGAAAATAGCGACCGAATTGAAATCGATTCGCTAATGAATATTATTTTTTTATTATATTTAAATTTATTTTTTTATAAATATACTTTAATTGTTTTAGTATATTTTTTACAATTTATTTTTTAAAAGTAATTTATTTTTTAAAAATCATTTAATTTTTAAAATATACATTAAAAATAAACTTTGGTCTCAATATTAACAAAATGAAGATTAACTTTAATTTTAAATTACTAAAATAAAAATATTATTAAAAATAAATCAAATTTATTAAAAATTTAAATTGTAATAAATTAAGACTAGAGTGATATTAACTATTCAATACATTGTTTAAGAAAAGTTTAATAACAAATATTCTTTAATTTATTTTTCAATTGAAATTTTCAATTAAAATTAAATTATATTTTAAAAATTTATATTAAAAAAATTAAACACATCAAATTATCACATTTTAATTCCTCATTAACTTAATTAATTAAAAAAATTACAATTTTAATTAAATTATTACAATTTTATTTTATAATACTTTATTTTTAATTTAATTTTAAAATTTGTTGCTTTATTATTATTAATTACTTAACCATGGTTGTTGTCATAAAATTGATATACCAAAAAAAATTTATATCAATATACATTAGATAATAAATATGTTATTTAATTACAATATTTATAAAAATATATTTATCTTTAGTTAAAATATTTTTTAGTTTAAGTATACTAATTAATATTTTTCATTTTTAACATAATTAATCACAAAGATTAAAAATAGACTGCTAGAAAAGTTAAAAATTTAAAATTAATCTATTTTATAAATACTAAAAATAAACCATATTTAAATAAATTAAAAATATATTTAAATTTATATTCAACATACCTCCAATTTGGCTCAATAAATTTATAGATCACATTTGGAAACTTCATCACTTAAATAACTTCAAAATTATTAACTTTTTTTTCAAAGCCAAGTTTTTCTTGTCAGTTTTTTCAAAAAAATAGTTAATATAAGTTAACGTTGTGTCTTTTTAAAATTTCAACTTTTTTATATATTGGATTTTTATTAAAAAATTTCTAAAATTGCATAAGAAAATAGAGATTTAATTATACATTTAATAAATTTAAGATAATACTAGTTTTTTTTTTAATTTTTAAATATTTATTTTAATTTTTTAAAACAGAGAAACTATAATTTTAGATTCTAAATACTAAATTTAAAAAATTAAATTTATTATTATTTAATATTTTAATTTTAGTATTAAAAATTTAAATTATATTTTATTAAATTAAAATAATTACAATATATTTTTCTACTTTGAGAATTAAAAATATAATTAAACTAAAACTGAATATATTATAATACATTTTTGAACTCTTTTTTATAATATTTTTATCATTATTATATTTTTGGATTAATTTTTTTTTCCTAATTTTTTATAAAGTCAATTTTAATATTTAAAAGTATTTAACATTTTGAATTCTAAAATTTTTTCTCTATTAGCAAATTTAAAAACATAATATACTAAAAAATTATTATACATAATTATTTCATCCAAATTTTTAATAATATGATAAGTCATCAAATTCGTATATAAAACAAATTTAATGATGGATTAAAATAAAACAACATTTATAAGAAACTATTTATTTTTATTTATGATGGATCAAAAGTGGAAATACATTTAAATTTATAATTTTATTTATGAAACACATTTAAATTTATAATTAAAGAAAATAATGAAAATATTAACATGATATGATACTTTTAGTAATGTATTTTTTTTTTAAATTTAAACTTACTTTTTTTAGTTTAGTTTTTAAATTTTATGTATTATTATTGTTAATTGATATACTAGAATAAATTTATATAAAAATAGTCTTTATCTTCAAAATTCACTTCTTCAAATACTATCTTTATATTTTTCTACTGTTTCTTTATAGTTAAGAAGATCAACATTTGTGTACACACTTATAAGTAAAGAGTATTTGTTTATTCTATTTTATTTCCAATCTATAATTTGAGTTTTTTTTTAAATATATTTTATATTTTTAAAATTAATAATTTTAATGTAGTTATCTAAGTTTTTGATGTGATGATTTTAATTAATTGATATTATCAAACCATTTAATTTGATTTATTATAGTAAAAATCATAAAAATAAATGTTAAAATAATATTAATTATCTATAAAAGAAGACTAATTATTATAAAGATAAAATAGAATATGGGAGGAAATGAGGATGATAATATAGTAAAAATGATAGAGTTTAAAAACAATGTAGAATGTGAGAAGTTAAAAAGAAAAAAAAGTTAAAAAATGATATATATATATATATATATATATTTATATATAAATATATAAATATATAAATATGTAAATATATCAATATATCAATATTTAAATATATATTATAATATATAAATATATTTGTATTTATAGATTTTATAAATATATAAAGATATAAATATATAAATATATATATATATATATATATATATATATATATATAAATATATAAATATATAAATATATAAATATATAAATATGTAAAGATATAAATATATGTAAAGATATAAAGATATGTATATATGTAAACATATAAATATATAAAGATATAAATATGTAAATATGTAAAGATATAAATATATATCTTTAACATTTTGTACATGTAAATATAATTTATATATATTTTTAAATCTTTTTCTAATATTTATTTTTAAAAATATAATATTATTTAAAATATATATATATATATATATATATATATATATTAATATTATCCCCTTATATATTATTATACATTATTAGCATAATTTTAGTTTAATTAAAAATTAGAATACAAATATATTATATTATACTAATATACCATTATATTATAATACTTGTAATTTATTTTTATTGTGTTTAAATTACAAAACTAATAATTTTTAACAATTTTAATGATAATTTTTTTAACTTATATATTACCAAATATTTTTTAATACTTTAATAAATATACTTTTTTTAAAATATTTTCATCAATTTAAAGTATAATTTTTAATATTTTTTAGTATTTTTTAAATGTGGATATCTTTAATATTTTGGATATATAAATATAATTTATACATATTTTTAAACCTTTTTCTAATATTTGTTTTTAAAAATATAATATCATTTTTAATATTTCATATGTATATTTTAAATTTTTTTAAATATATAAATATATAAAGATATAAATGTATAAATAAATATATAAAGATATAAATATATAAATATATAAATATATAAATATGTAAAGATACAAATATATAAATATATAAATATGTAAAGATATAAATGTATATCTTTAATATTTTGTACATGTAAATATAATTTATATATATTTTTAAACCTTTTTCTAATATTTATTTTTAAAAATATAATATTGTTTTTAAAATTTAATATTTAAATTTTTCATTTTTTTAAATATATAAATATATATATATATATATATATAAAGATAAAAATATATAGATATATAAATATATAAATATGTAAAAATATAAAGATATAAATATAAAAATATATAAAGATATAAATATATAAATATGTAAAAATATAAATATATATCTTTAATATTTTGTACATATTAATATAATTTATTTATATTTTTAAATCTTTTCTAATATTTATTTTTAAAAATTTAATATTATTTTTAAAATTTAATATTTAAATTTTTAATTTTTTCTTAAATATATAAATAAGTCAATATATAAATATATCAGTATATAAATATATTAATATATAAATATATAAATATATAAATATATAAATATATAAATTTATAAATATATAAATATGTAAAGATATAAATATATAAATATATAAGTATATAAGTATATAAAAATATAAATATATAAAGATATAAAGATATAAATATATAAAGATATAAATATATAAATATATAAATATATAAATATATAAATATATAAATATATAAATATATAAATATATCAATATATCAATATATAAATATATCAATATATCAATATATCAATATATCAATATATCAATATATCAATATATCAATATATCAATATATCAATATATCAATATTTAAATATATAAATATATCAATATATCAATATTTAAATATATATTAAAATATATAAATATATTTGTATTTATAGATTTTATATTTATATATTTATACGGATATACATTTATTTGTATATAAATATAATATGTTTGTAAGTTATTATTGAAAAGTCCACGTAGTTTAGTGGTTGGAGTTTGAACCTTCGTCTCTAAGGTACCGGGTTCAAATTCTGACAATAACAATAATTATCCAATAATAAGTCAAATTTCTAAAAAAGTATAATATAAAAAAATGTAGGGGAGTCTTTAGATAAATAGAGAGAGAGTTTGGAAATTCATAAATAAAAATAATTAACTTTGTTATTGATTAGCGACCGATTTTTTGGGTCGTTAAAATGATTTTTTCTTGTAGTGTACTTACATGTGGCAAAACTCTAAAATTGAAAGGTTACCATATTTAATTTGTCCTACATACAATTTAATCACTAAAATGTGAATCTTATCCCATTTCACATTAAAAAAAAATATAGTTTGTCTTTATATAAATTGTTAAATGGATAAATTTTACGTTGGTTGCAAGTTAG